ACGGAAGCAACTTGCCGTGGTGACAAGATGAAACAACAAATCAAAATCTAATTCAATTAAATGCACGGTGTACTTTTACATGGTTCGATAACGCCCCCTCTGTCTTAAATAATCTTCCACATCCTTCGAATGGACACACATGCGGCATTTTGGGTGCATGTGTGCTGCAGGGAGACGGAGTCAGTGAATTCCGCAAAGGGTAGAGCACAAACTTTCTCACCGTTCATGTCGTCGCAACTGTTCCAGTCGAGAAAACCGACGGCCACAATCCGGATGGGGGCAGGCGAAGGGGCGTTCTCCCGTGTGGGTTTTTTCCTGTTGATAAGTCAGGAAGTTGTTGAACTGAGTGGACACATCATTTACTCACGTGTTTCCGAAGATTACTTCGATCTGCAAACGATTTACCGCATTCGCGGCATGAGAAAGGTTTATCTCCTGTGTGTGTCCGGATGTGAGCGGTAAGAGCCGCCGCTGTTGGAAAGGAGGAGTCACAATGCGGACAAAGATGAGGTCGAGCATCTAAGAAGTGACTTTCTGATTAGTTCAACTAGGCAGGGCAGCTTGCTGAAGGAAACAAACATGCGTGCAATTTCTGGTGTTGCAACAGCGATGATTGATCAGAGAAAGTGCTGTCACAGCCTGAACATCCATATGGCCGGTCCCCGGTATCTGTTTAGTATTCCCATAGCAACTTTGAGTATTGAGGCGCATATTCGAGTAGGGAAGAACTCACGAGCGGCCATATGTCTCATTATCTTATTTCGTTGAGCGAAGTCTTTCTGCCTTTCACATCCTTTCCACGAACACATGTACCCACTATTCCCCCAGCCAACGTGCGTTTCTGAAATGTGGGATGTCAGGTCCGCAACGTTCGGAAAACTGTTATGACACCCTTCCCAAAGACAGGAAGTGTTCTCAGGACGAGCAGGTGGTTCCTCCAGGGATAAAGAGTTTACAAGAGAAGTGATAGAGCCTCCCGTGTGCGCATTTGCGATGTGCTGGAGCAGCTCTGGCAGAAATGGATTGCTGAAATTGCAGGATGACCAGTGGCAAGAGAGTGCGGGATTGGGATCGGGAGCTGTCTCAACAAAGTTTATCGGTGACGAAGGGATTGTCGAGAAAGTAGGGGCCGGCCATAACCCCGGTGAAGCATTCGTTGTTTCCGCGACGGTGGATGGTGTTTCGGAAGGTTCTGAACTGTTGTCCTCCAACGCAGTATCCGAGTCATCATCATTCACCAAAGTTTTACTTTGGTGCGAAGCGCATAATGCTGACGCTGTATTTGCAGGGGGTACCCCCATTTCGGACGACTCGCTAGGGTTATTGCGGCAGCCAGCACAGTCTTCGCAGTCTCCGAGTATCGTCCACTCAGCCATCCAAACGTCTGATTCCGCGCTTGCCGTGGGGTAGCACTGTGCATCGGTGGTGTCATCGGAGGGACAATGGAATGGTGGCACTGGAGAACATGGACAACACCTGACCGGAAACATTGATAACTCTCGGAAACCAGATTAATTGATAACTTTAATCACCTTATTGGACAATGGATTGGATCTGCGTCCTCAGCGACTTCAGTGTTGTTATTTGATGTGAACTCGAATTGCACCACATCCTGGAAATGAGGTGTTGCGAAAACGGGATCGATCTCGTCCAAAGTTTCATTGTCAGTGGGAACGTGACGATGCGAATGTCCAGTATGATGATGTAGAAGCGCCCCCGGACTGGATAGAAAGTGATGGTGGTGATGATGGTGCCAGTGGTAGTGTTTCTCTGGGGGGATGTTGTCTTCACCCGGGTGTTGCAACTGCTCGTTCTGCATCTGCTTGCTCCCCCGATATCTTCGATTGTCCCCGGAGAAAAAACCAGCTGTCCCTTGGGCGTTGCCAATGGTCGCCTTGATATGTTCACCAACATGCGCAACAATGTCCTGCTCTGGGAAGTTCGCCCCGCATCCATCCCACTCGCAACGGAGCATCATCGTGTTCGGTAATCAACGATGGATATGACTGGCGAATTCCCTCTCGGTTTTCGGAAGTTTGTCCAGAAACACAGATAGATCACCGCCGGATGCTGACCGTCTTCAAGTGAAGCAACTGCGACCTGCGCAAGCACAGACTCCAGTATTCGCCGGTAGTGTACGGTGCGCTGATGCTTCTTAGCTCCCAGTTCACTGGAAAACGAAATGGTAGTAATAACGAGACCTTCTTCGGGTACCACGCGGCTCTCGAGCACCGCTGGACGGAAAAAAGTTCTCAGGGACAACCACAGCACTGGTGTCACCCTAAGAAAATGCGGCGTGCCTTCTCCTTCCCTCTGACAAAGTTCAAATGTTTTGTCCAAGCTCTCGCAGTGCATGGTTGGAGTGTAATGAGTGCATATTTGCGTTTCTGCACTGCCAGAACAGTATGCATACATTCTGTACAAAACTACATTTGATTTGGATACATTACTCACAAAATGTAATGAAAAATATTTGTGGGATAGCATGTCCGTGTGTCGAAACTTCACAATCGCGGTTGTACGTGCACATTAATCTTGCGATCGCTCATGTCCCAGCCTTCCGCCGCCTTAACTTCCTTTTTGTAGTCGTACGCGCTGCCACGTTTGAGTCCCGGCAACGTTCCGTAGATCTTAACTGTCGCCCAGAGTTCCCATTCTCGAATTGCCGCAGAGAAGGAACTATCTGTTCGAGTGAGCTGCATTCGACCGAGCGCACGTGACGTGAGGAGTGTGTTGAGAGCGCGAGGAAAGCGGTGTTTCTGGTACGTCTCGCAGACGGCCTGGAACTCGGCGACGCTGCAATCCACAGAAAGAACCCTGGGATTTTGTTCGAAGCAGAGTGCAAACGTTCCGACGTCCTCCAATGACATCATCGCACCTTGACCAAGATATGGAGGGACGGGATGCGCTGAAGGGTTTCAAATGAATGCAGTGGTTACGAGATCGCACCTTGGGCCTTGATGACGTTGCACGCTCACCAGCATCACCCAGGAGCACACATCGTCCCCGGTACCACTGCTTTACGGGCTCTCTATCCCGGATTCCCACACGAAGAACCGATGTACCCTCCTCGACTGGGCGTACAAAGTCTTCGGCCCAACCGTCTTCACGAAGTGTGGCCGCGAGCTCGCGCATCTGCGAGCGTGTCTCTTCGGGTGTCAGAGGACGCCAAGTTTCGGGGTTCAAAGGGGCTGGTGTGTAGATTTGGAAGATTTGTTCAGTCTCGGAAACAGGATACCACTGCGTGATGAATAAGGGGGTGAGCAAGATGGAGGGTACAGTCGCAGCGGTAGTGTAGAACTCACGACGCCATGTCGCTTGTTGGGGCCTGTTGGGAAACATATGCCTCTCTTGGGTCGAGGAATGTTGGCAGCACCCATCAAGCAGGTAATGCCACTGTACACAGGGTCAAGGGGTCCGAAGAGACTATCGCGGACTCGGGATTTTGCGCCCTGTAATATATGGTTCGAAAGTTTGTGTCGGCGGCTTTCCTTTCGCAGCTCCGAGTGTACACTCACATCACAACCGAACACAAAGTCGGCGTACAGAATGGAACCATCATCGAACATGACAGAAACCTTGCCCCTGGAGTCACCTTCCGGGTTTCGCACCTCCGCCAGTCGCTTGTTGAACGAGATTTCAATGCCCTCCCGCATGCAGGCGGTGGTGAGACACTTCTGGAGCCTCCAGCGACGTATTCCTACCGAAGGAATTCCATCCTGCTCAAGGTGGGATTCTTCAGCAACAGCAACCTCTCGGCCGTCGTGCTTCATCCAGCGGCGGTATTGATAGGGAAGGGAAACGCCGAGAACATCGCTCAAAAGCTGCGGGCTTTGGTACAGATTCAGTTAGGCACATTAACCGCGATTTTATAGCAAACGCTGTGACAAACTCACCCGCCGATATCACGGAGAACTTTTAAGCCGTTGGGATACAAGCCAAATGCACCACCGACATTGTCGTCTGTGTCACAATAGGTCAGCATTGTACAGACTCGGAGCACCTTGGCATTCACGTCGTCGGTACTCACCAAAGCCAGAAGCGCCCTCGAAAACGTGCGGTTGCAGCCCCCCCTTTCGCTTGAGAGCAAGTGCGAGGGTAAGCCCGGCGATGCCGGCACCGATGATTGCGATTTCAGGAGAAGCCATTGCGACTGAGATGTCCAGAAAGCGATGGCAGAAAAGTGTTGGATTTGATGCGCAACAGCAATGGATGATGAGTTGTTAAGTGGGAAGAGTGGCAGCTAAAGTTGTTGGCTGTGCTGCGGGATCCAGTTGGTTCCGTGAGGCTTCAGGCACCCGCAGTCATCATGACAAGGTAGGTCAGGCGCGTGACGAGATAAGCCTCAGCTGGAATAAATACAGCGAGCAAATCACCGTCGCGATTACGTCTTCGATCATCGTATGCGTGAAGGAAGATGCATGTCCCTACGACACACAATCGTCGCACTACACTATGTTGCGACTCAACCCAATCTCTGTGCAAACATGTATGCAAATTCGCAATTCAAGGTTTTTGTGACTGATAACAAGGAGGGAGCAAAAATGGCGACTCGACGTTGAACTGAGGTATGGGAGTGTGTTGACGCACAAACAGTGTGGTCAAAATATGCGACGCTCATCCAAAAACTATGTTGGATGCACCACTGCAGTCAGTTGCCACCACTGGAACGGGTCACAGATGTAGACTTCGAGATTCCAGGTCGCACGATATCAACACGCCTGGAAAGCCTTCGTTGGTGCGGTCCGACTAAGTTCGGAGTCCAACTTTACTTCCTGCCGTCGTTGGTGTGCCAACGTCTGAGATGCAAACGGCCATCAAGCTCACAGTCTCATTATTATGGCTCAATTTCTTGTTAGTGGAGAGCTACGAAGTGATTGAGATGATAGGAGAAGACTGAGCGGTCAGGACAAGAGTGTGAAGCACCAGAAAGAATCTTTCACAAACAATTATTGTAAGAACTGTTATATAGTGCGCATTTTGGACAGTTTTTCAGCGAGGCCTCCTTAGCTCATCTGGGAGAGCGTAGCACTGAAGATGCTAAGGCANCGCGTTCGATCCGCGGAGGGGGCAATTTGTTTTGCATTATCCAAAATAAAATTAGCATTTTAGTTACCGAAGAATGGATGTCACCACTCAATTCGCTTGTATGTTGTGTTTTATTCCGCTTTCTTGCTCCTGTTTCGTTATACAATTGGTATTCTTTGTTTGAACCAGGTCGAAAGTTGACAATATTTTTGGCACGAATTTATTGAACGATTCTATAGCTTCGCGCCTTTCGAGGTGTCCTTTGCTCCAGTGAAGTTATGTCCCTTCGAAGAAGCCACAGGGATACTGATGGCGTGATCCATGGTGACAACATCGGTGTCTTCACTAAGCGACGTCTGCTCCCCCTCACGTTCCCATACGAGCATTAAGAAGTCGGTTCGATGATCTAGCGCAATCATTGGTGCCTGGAGGATATAATGTGAGAGGGTGGGTGGGGGCAGAGTGTATGCAAATACTCACATGCCAACACCCTGCTGAATAGTTGATCCCTGTGTGTCGCGTGCAGCAATCAAATTAGTAAATTGTACCACGTACATAGTTGGGCATGTGTCCAGTCTTACCCTGATGCATCGCAGCCACGAACGCCTTCAGCGTTCTCCAATCTGGGCCATCTGTAACAGGATCATTCAAGGCCACAATCACCAGGTAACCCTTCTGAGGGTGGCTTCCTTCTTCCTGGTGAATAGGCATGAAAAACTGCGTGGAATATTTGTGCCGTTCAATCACTTTCATGGGGAATGGTAATGTAGGTGTTGGAGCGATTGAAAAAATTGTAAGGTTCGGACGCGCCGGAGGCGTCAAAAGTTCACTTGGAAGCGCAGATGGATGAGCGGAGAGGTTTGGGTTTGGCGTTCGTGATGAAGGAATCGACGGAGCAAAGTCTTTGGTTCTCGTTGAGTAAAGATTGGCGATCCAGTTGAATCCTGCGCAATCGAGTCAGACAATGGCAGTTCAGATGCTCCAAACGGCCAGGGGGACGCACTCCTTGCAGTTCCCATGTTCGCCGTCGTCAAGCGTCCTTGTCCGACTTCAATCACCTCCCCGTACGGACGGAACGCTTCAGCTGTGAGGAGCTCGCATGGAATAGTCGTAAGATCAGGAGGCAAGCGTCCACGTTTGTCCCCCATGACGATCCGGGTGGCAGGTTGGTGGGCTCGATGGTTGAAAGATAAATTATGTTTGGAAAGTGAGGGCGTCCCCCTCGTCGGATCAAAAGTCAACTGACCTCGTTTCAAGTGTGTACTCTAGCTTTTCTACTTTAATAAACACTCTATACGTTGATATCCTTCACTATGGTGACAATATCTGGTCCTAACCAATTAGCGCTTTGCATCTCTGTGAGCCTACTTACAGCTCGCGAGAATGCAAAAACTTCCTCATCATTCACGGGGGTGGAAGGCGAAGATCGCCCCTTTGCTGGCGCAGAAGATTTCGAGTCCGATTCTCGGAAGGGAACAGATGGAAGAAGTTTCTCTGAGAGGGGAAGGTCACTGCCACTGGCGTGTGTTTGAGGTCCGGTGGTGTCAGGTTTGGCGCTCGGCACCTGGATGTTTTGTGTGCCGTAGTCGAGAGAAAAGAGGCGGGATATTGGTGCTTCCGCGGAGCATATGAGTTTGACCTTTGGAACAAGCACGTGAATCAAATGTTTGTTAAAAAATGGAACAGATACCAACTTTGTTGTCGTAGAACGCGTCAAGCATGTTGATCAATCTCCGCGCCTCGTTGCGCTGATTCACACCCATCTTTGGAATGTCGTCGAGAAGAACAACGCTATACCGCCGCGCGATCTCGATATAATCCGCAGCTGCACGTGCCTGTTTTGCACGAATTGAGCATGAGACACCAGCAAACTGCAGGCATTCCTCGTCCGCACCTCTCCACACAGCTCCCGGAACGTGAATCTGGCATTCTGCCCAGCGGCACGCGGAATGAGAACTTTACGTCCCCAAACATCAACGTGCTCTGGACCGTCTTTCAGGTCCCCGATTATCCTAGACCATATTGTGTCCATCGCTGTGCGCGTTTCGGGCGTGTTCGGACTATCGACAAAGGAAGCGTGTCAATGGCAAACTCAGCATCGGTACTCAAGTTGGCAACAACGTACGTGTAGTAAACTTTGAAGTACTTCTTTTCTGAAGAGAGAATCACGTCAGTTTGACAGAGTGGGGCATCACCTCGTCCGACACTCAACTGGTTTTCCGATAATCAGTTCCCGTGTCCAAGGGAACAACCTGGCATCGCTCTTTGAGCAACTCTATACAAGGAACGAACGACTTCCGTTGGATACCATTTTTGTACAGCTCTGAGATTAAAAAAAATGTCAACGGTGATAGTGCATTGAGCGTGCAGCGTTTTCATCAACACACCATCTGGATGTCGATTAGATGTTGTAACAAGGACAACTCCACGGTCGAACAGCTCTTCGAACAGCCGTCGCAGGATCATCGCGTCTATTCAAAACACACCACAGTGAAACTTTGCACACAACGAGGTGAATCCTCCACAGGCGGTTTACACCACTATTCACCAGCAATATCCGTCACCTGCATTTCATCAAAGCACAGCAGCCACGCCTCGTTCGCCAACTCCCTCGCCACCTCGGGCACGGCATCGTAGCTGATGCCCTTGTTGGCCTTTGCCCTGTGCATTCGCTTGTGGACGTCGACCATAAACGCGTGGAAGTGTGCGCGTCGCTTCCGTGTGGTCGGGTGTGTGTTGAAGAAGAGGTCCATCAGGGTCGTTTTCCCCGTGCCGACGGAGCCGTACATGTACATTCCGCGCGGAGAGCCGTCGTCGTCGTCGGTGGCGGTGGATGTGGTGGCGGGTTGGGAAGTGGATTGGGTGAAGAACGAGGCGAGCTGTGTCCACGGGTGGGAGGAGACAAAAAGGGGTCAGCTGAAGTGCAAACTGAACCCAATCGAGCAAAAAGGGTAGATGGACAGTTCCAGCGTGGAGCAGCATGAAACGTTGACGTCCCGGAATAATTCCCGTTCATCAGTTTTAACCGCATGAAGTTCGAAGCTTAGACGTTGAACGACACCCTAAACCACATCTTTGCTAAACTCCCGGTAATGGTCCTGACCGTTCTAACGTGTTTCCAGCGCGATTCTGTTGGTCAAACAAACCCGGCCGAATAAGTGACTTCCTCCAGCAGCGTCGTCCCGTGAAGCTTCCCCGCTGTCAACCGGGGGCTCATAGTTTATGAGATCCTCGTGAAGTTCTTGGAGTACGGTAACAAGTTCTCTCTGGTGTTCGTCCAGACGGAATGTTCCCGACGAGACTAGTGAGTCGTATAGTGGGAGAGGACCTGGTCATTGGAAGCCAGCCATGAGAGTGAGCGGTACAGATAGTTCACAAAACACGCAGTGATACGAAGGAGTAAGCTATGGTGTGGCAATTTCCGTTGTCGACATGACGCCCACCTGTTGCTTCCCTTGTGACATTCCATTCGGGTTCCGCATTTTGTGCTTGCTGATATTGAGCAGCTCCTGATGAAAAGCTACGGTTCTGAAAGGTGAATTGACTTCGCAAGGGTCCCATGGAGTGTGGTGGAGTGGAGGCAGCACATCTTGTTTTGGGCCGATGATCGAGTGGAAGGCAGGGGTTGGGTGTTTTCAGGGGAGATTCATCTCCCCGAGGAGAGCATGAGTTAGATATAGATGCCGCAGAGGAAATCGTCCGCGTGTAGGTGGTGTCGCTGCCCGCGTGGAAAGATAAAGGCCGTGACAAGTTCCGCAACGATCTCCGGGCAACGGCGTCCATTCGGAAGGCGAAAAGAAGAGTTCCCCTGAGTCAACCGTTTGATTAAATGTGTGGCAGAGTGTCGATGGTGTGACTGGTTTGATGCCCGGTCGGATCCAGAATTTTTGGAAGAAGGGTGAGCTGCGGACAATCAAGTCACTCTCTCACAGTGAACTCAATGCTCCGCAGTTCAAGTCCGGCCGCAAAGCAGTCGTCTCGCGCGCAACGCTCATCGTCACCGCAGCAGAGTGCAGCCGCTAATGGAGCACAGGCATCGCAAAGAAACAATGGGTCTGCGCATCCAAACAACACCGCATCCACCGCACAGGAAGATTCTTTGTCTTCAAACGCCCAATCCACAGAGAAGCGTGTCAGCCTCCTCGACATCATAAGGGAAAGGCTTGCAAAGCAGGGAAAGGTTTGAAATTCCTTCCGGGACCTTGTTGAGCTTCGCGCAATGAATACTGTTCTGTTGCAGACGTCTCTCTTGTACAGAGTGCTCTTATGTGGGGAACTCACCAAAGATTTACAAAACAAGGCGGACCTTGGGAGTGAGCAACGATTTCGTGGTTACGAACACAGACTTAGTTTTGAATGTCACGCTTCGCCGTTTCGCTGGACGCTAAATAGCTCATTACCAGAACGCATTTAAATTACATCAAACAGAAAGTGACCTTGTCACGGGCATTCTCCTTATATACGGATCATCGTTCCTCCACTACTTCGAGGCATCGCAACGAACAGCCTTCACAACGCTTCTCGAACTCTACCGCCCTCACGCAAGTCCAAAAGAGGCTCCTTCACCTGACCGCGATGCGTCCATGAAAGGACAAGACGACTCCGCCACCACCGCGCCTGCTGCACCGCTGGAACCTGCCACTTCACAGCTCCCCCAACTTCCCTGCGTCTCTTCTCTTGTGCACAACGTGCGTGTCGTTCACATAGACGAGGACTGCGCCTCTCGCTCGTTTCCGTTCTGGGCAGGCAGAGTCGTGGAGGCAGAGGCGCCAGGTGGAAACGTCGTCATACCGCCAGATGCCTTGGCGCAAGTGCAGGCGGACGGAGGTGCCCTAGCCAAGACTGTGAGTTTTGTGGACAGATTTTCAAAATCTCTGAGCTGTCAATAATGACAATTGTTTCAGTGCGCACAGATGGCGGTCAACACGATGGAACTTGGCAAACGCCTGTCCGCTGTTCAAAAGGTGCTTTTCTGCGCCATTGCTCTCGAAAATGAAATCGAAGAAACGAAAATTGTGACCTCGACAATATTTTCTGTCGTTTCT